TGGACTTTGAGCTTTATTACAAAGCCAGGTTACTAGCCTGGATGCTTGATTGGTTTCCTAGACCCTTCCGAAAAGCCTCTTGTATGATTGAACAAGATCTTTCTCAGGTTGATCTTCGGGCATTACCATGGGGGTATGACCGGGACTATCGGCGGTTTTCTAGCCTGTCCCCTTTGACTTTAGCTGTAATGCGGTTGTGGTATAAACGAGGCATAATTGCTCTCTTATCTCCTGATCCCTCCCCCTTATCACCCCTATTTGATAACCCTGCTCTTCCTCAGAGGTTGGGCTCTTCCCTTATTGGACCCTTTACACACACCTCCTGGCCAGTAGCTCAAGACTATCTGCCCCCAATCGGGTCTTCCGTTCCTTCAAGGTGGGCCTAGGGATTGGTTGACCACTTTACACCTATCCTCCTTTTGCAAGCACTTACACTCTCCCTCCAACATTCATCACCCACTATCTGAAATTAAACGGCTGTGCTCTCTCTCTGAACCACTGAGACATGTTCTAGCTTCCCTCTATACAGTGCTCCACAATGCTCTTCACTTCCTCCCTACACTAAGGCTTGGGCTCAAGACCTAGGTAAAAACATATTGGTGGAGGATTGGTCCACGTCATTCCACTTTACTCATAAATCATTTATTTCTTGCCATTCACAAGAAAAGAACTTTAAGCTTCTTTCTCAATGGTACAGGGATCCCCTCTCCCTACACAAAATTTTTCCTTCTACACCTTATCTTTGTTGGCACTGTAATAGAGCTGTTGGTACACAGCTCCACATTTGGTGGGATTGTGATCAAATACAACCCTTCTGGCGACAAGTCTTTGCTGTATATAACAGGATCTATGGGGAGTCCTTGGCCCCTTCACCAGAAATTGCTCTTCTCTATATTACCGGGCTCACTGGCAGAAGAAAAGTCTGTTGCGTTTCTCTCTGTCTGCTGCCCTCTAATTGAAATGGCCAATCCCCCTCCCTTTCTGATGTGGGTTTCTGTGCTTAAGGATACCATGCATATGGAGGAAATGCTGGTGTTTACCAATGATACCTATGATAAACATAAGTTGCTGTGGTTGGTCTGGTTCCATTCCTCTTCCTCTGCAACTCTCCGAGATATGTGTTCCCCTGTTGTGCCCTAGTGGAGTTGAGCCTTGCTCCCTCAACTCATTTTCATTTTGGCTTGTCCGCAGATTAGGCACTGCGGTCCATGGCAGGGTCGCTCCGGTGGGGAGCCACCTTGATGCTGCTTTCTGCCATTCCAGTCTTCCAATCAACTCTCTTCTCTATCCTTACCACTGGTTTTCCCCCCTTTCTTTTCTTCTTCTCAGTTTGGGTTTACACTCTTGGATATGTGGAGTGCTCTCTTCTTGTTCCATACATCTCGCCCAGGGATAACCCCCTAAAACTATGTTTTGTTATATCTTCGTAATATGGGTTTTTGATCCTTCCCTCTTGCTGTTGTACTGCATCATTTTCATCCAGCCACATCTGTGATGTTTTTCTGTTTACTTACTTGTACATGTTCTTTATACTGCTTATGCTCGGTCTGTTAAATTTGTGCAAAATAAAGACAAATTTTCCTTTAAAGAGGAAGCTCTGGTCACAGCCAAAACAAGCAGCTCGCATGGAGAGAACAGAGGAAGTCCACAAACCTGAAAGCCAGCAAGGACAACCCTTACCCTAGAGATGGGTGGGGTAAACCTGCATGCGGAGGTGGACTTAACTGCTTAAAAGCGCTTGCTCCCAAGCCCAAGAACAGCTGTAACCAGTCCTGCATGAAAGAAAAAAACTGCAATAATGTAGTACGATAGACACAAAACGTGGCCCCATTCTTCGGAATCAAAGGATCCGTGAACCAACAATGGTGACACGCCATCAGGAAAACATGGTGGGAGCCAGCCGACACGCCAAGAAGAGCATGTGCATGGGCTATGAGGTAGACCCATCCAACATGGCCGCAGACTAAGCCACTCCGAGGAGGCCGACATGCAAAGAAGGCCACCATTGAGGCCCCACATGATTGAAGGCCCTACCTAAAGTAGGCCACCAGCTAGCTGAGAGGCCATCTGAGGCCTTGCAAAGAGGGCTGCTGGGGGAAGGTGCCAGCTAAGACCCCACAAAAGGAGGCCTGCATCACAAACCCCACAGGGGAGGCCGCTGGCTGAAGCCCAGCAAATGAAGGCCACTGGCTCAGGAGGGAGGCCGCCAACTGAGGCCCCGCAAAAGGAGGCCACCTTCTGAGATCTGTGGGCTGAAAACAACACGAGGAAGGTATTGCGTTCTGTCACAGTAAGCAGGGCTCCAGTGCTGTGCCAGACAGAAGGCCCTCAAGGTCCACAGATAGGGACACTGGTTTTTTCCCCTCCTGTGCTACTAAAGCCACAGCTAATCCTTCCAGGCACCCACAGTGCCACAGGTAAGCTCTCCCCACCCACAGGAGCAGCTCTCCTTGATAAGGGGGGGGGAGAAGGGAGAAAGGGGCCATGAAATAAAAGAAAATGGTGCTTACTGCAGGATACGGCCTATAGCACCGCCCATCTAGGAGGAGGGCGCTGACTCACCGATCAGATTGGCCAGCAGAAAATGGAGGACATCAACACCAGGTCAGTAGGCGGCAAAGCTGCAGAACTAAAGTTGCAGGAGGCCAGACTGCGTGTTGAACGCACCTGCAGAAGGGCCCAAAATAAACCAGTCCGGTGTAAGGTAGGGAGCCTCCCCAACCCTCCTCCATCCAGTGCCTAAATGGTACAGGTGTACCTGCTCTGCAAAGTCCTCGCAGCTCCTGGGTTTCCATCGTAACCCAAAGAAGGGAGGAGAGAAACCATGTAGCAGTGTACTCGCACCCCCAAGGACGGGGGGCCTCCGACTATCTGGGAGTACAGGTACAGCCCCATGCACGTCCGAGAAGGGGGAGGGGCATCAACCTGCCAATCCACGGTGGTGATAGGTAACACTCCCGAGACAGATCCACCTCACCACCAAAGTGGGACTGTCGGCCAGGGTAACACAGACTCTGGTACCCGGTTATATGTGGTCCTGCAAGACATTTAACTCGCTGGCCACCCCGGTCCAGGATGGGGTATGTCACGGCCAACCTAGCACTTAGCTAAAGCCCGTGCGCATGCTTGCTGGCTAGACTGGGGTGACCACTGAATCTAGAGTAACCGGCCAGTCGCCCCAGCCCAGCTGTTGATTGAAGATCTCTGCCTATAGCAGAGAGACCAGAAGGGCGGTGCAGAGTTCTTTTCTGCCTAGTGTCCTACTCCTATAGGTGGTGATATAGCCCTATGATTGAGATTTAGAAGAGCCGTGACCGTCAATGAACTTTAGAGAAAATTAAATGTCTTAGCGTCTACTAGCATTACATAATGACATCTTCATAAATCAAATAAAATTCTGAAATCCTAGTTTCACACTTCTAGTAAACATGATAGACAAATCAAACAAATGCCAAGAAAATTAAGTTTATAATTTTATTTATCCTTTATAACATATGAAATATGTACAAAAAAGGAAAGCAAATGATCAATTGTCCTTGTTTAAACTATACACTACATATAAAACTATGAAGCTTTAAAGAAGCCCCCTTTTCTTTTGCAAAAAAGATCAGTCTTCATTGTAGAACAATTGCTTTCTCAGCATTCCTCCCTGGTTTAGAAAGTATATAATAAAAGGGATATAGTTGTTTACAACACATATGCACACCTTTTAATCTCAGGAAAGCTGAGGAATCCATTCTAAGTGAGACCAGTTCCTCTCCAGCCATTGGTGTAAGAATAGAAAAAAAAAAAAAAAAAAGCGAATGCTAACATTTTTCTTTGGTTTCTTTGCCATTTCCAACATATTTATTAAAGTGGAACTGCACTGCGTCTAAGCAACACAAACCAAAAATGCGATTTAATTGTTAATATGTAAAGCAAACTCATCCAGCCATGTCTCCATGCTTTATTTTGCTGAAAAATCATTCTGAAAAAACACCCCCTAGCATTTCTGGCAGTGGCCATGTTGAGTAAGGTCAAATTCATGTAACAATTACTTCCTGGAAATATTTGCCCTTAGCTCAGGCATTGGCTGAGCTGAGGACCTGACCTTCCCCCCTCCCCTCCCCCTCCTCCTGAAGACTGATGGGATGTATTTGCCTAGAAATGAAAACCAGGAAGTAACTGAAATGTTGAAAAAAAAAAAAAAAAGAAGTGTATGTATATATATATTTATATATTTAAAAACAAGTTAATATGATATACTTTCCAATCAATTTATTAATGCTAGCAGCAGAAGGATTAAAAATAGTCCATGTTGATTGAGAGAGTGAAGTTCCACTTTAAGTCAGGCAGGGCAAAGCAACAGTCAGAAAGCCAAGATGATAGACAACCTAACTGTGATAATTGCCTGAATGTGGGGACATATGCCCATGCCTACTTTAAAAGAACCAGTCTTGACTGGGCTAAGCAGGAATCAGACTACAAATTCTTCAAAGATTTTGCTTACAAAATGTTTTTTATTACACCTTTATTTTTGAAGGATTTAATTTTTTACCCCTTTAAAAATCTTTGTTTTTGTCCCTGTCTGACACTTTAGCTGGAGTGTCCTCTTGTTACACAGCCTTCACAAAATCAGTGATTAAACAGATATCTTTTAATAAGTTCCACAAACCTTTAACAGATGTAGAAATGATAAAAACACATCTTGCATATGCAGCAATGGGGAAAAAATGATCCACGTGAGGCATAAATAGACACTATCATTTTTAAACTGTACTGGTTTGCTCAGAATGTCAGGGACAATGCCATTATTGTCAATACTTGTTACCTGTTCAAATGGCACAGCTTGCAAACTGAAAGAAATCATACAGTTACAACAAAAACATTCACACAGTGGGACAAGCTGCTGTATTATTGTGCGTTTCATTAGTCTGCTGTTCTAATGGTAAAGGCAAGCCCTATTTCCTAAGAGAACGGCATATCAAGGTGGAAAGGCGCTCTGCTGAAAAGGTGAGGTGCTAGCCGCTCACTGCAGACTGCTCTTTGTCCTGCTTCAGCCTGTAGTCTGCCAAGGCAGCTCTGATTGCATCTTCTGCCAGCACTAAAAAAAAAAAACAAAACCACACAGTAAGCCTATGTGCTTAAAAAAACAAAACAAAACTATGCATCGCAAACATTTCCTGCTTTGAATTTCCTAATTTGTGTAACCCGTCAGCCACTGCAAAACAATTACTAGCATGCTGACCAGCAAAAGTATATAGCAGAAGCAGTTAAAGCCAAAAAAAGCTTACTTCTAGGAAAACCTACTGCTAAAGTTTGGGAGAGATCATAGCATGGTTTTAAAATCTATTTATTTATATTTGCCACTTGTGTCCCAATGAAAGACAACAGAATGTGGTGGGAAATTCTCTTAGGGAGATGTCAATATGAGTTATTCTCCCCCCCCCCCCTTTTATATAAGGTTCTGGCCCCACTGAGAATAGCAGATTACACAGCTTTCAAATGGATTGACTTGGCAAAGACCATACTGCCACCTACTGGTTGTTAGCTAGTATTACTTCCTTCTAAAGTTTCACTTGCAACACACACTTTATCATCAAAAACAGCTCCTAAAAGCAGAACTGCAGCAGAAAAGGGAAGTTACGCTTATCCTCCTTCAGCCGCCGCTCCCCTCACCCCAGGTGTAGATTCCCATTTCTATCAGTTTCCACTTCCAGCATTCCCCAATCCAGCAAGACTGTCTTGGTGACTGTTAAATGGTGTCACTCAATTCTCACAATAGATGAGCTCTACTGAAGAATGAGAGTACAGTATATTGTTCCAGACTGTGCAATGTTAGAATGTTTTGGCAAGGCACTCATTATCCTCTTTTTCCCTAAAAGCCCAACGCAGTGTTACTGCTAAACCAATTCTATAACATCCTGGACGTGCAAACTGCATAGTTATTTATTATTTCAGGTACTTATATAGCACCGTCAATTTACGCAGCGCTTTACATACATATATTGTACATTCACATCAGTCCCTAACCCTCAAAGGGCATACAATCTAAGGTCCCTAAGTCACATTCATACACACACACACACACTAGGGACAATTTAGACAGGAGCCAATTAACCTACCAGCATGTCTTTGGAGTGTGGGAGGAAACCGGAGTGTGGGAGGAAACCCACGCAGACACAGGGAGAACATGCAAACTCCAGGCCGGTGGTGCCGTGGCTTGGATTCGAACCAATGACCCTAGCACTGCCAGGCGGAAGTGCTAACCATTTAGCCACTGTGCTGCCCATGCATAGTTAAGTGTTCATATGAATGAATTAAAGTACAACTATAGGTAATTTTTTTTGTTTAGTTTGGATAGAGTAAGGGAGAGTTACAAGCTGTCAGGTTTTTTTTTTTCCACCGTGTTTCCCATTGTGGAGATTTCCCTTCACTTCCTGTCTCAGACAAACAGAAAGAGGAAATCCCAGCAAATTAAGGGAATTCCAGGTCACCAGAAATAGTGTCCCCATTGGACGATTTACCCTCTATTACTTTTCTGGGGACGACCCAAAATATGGGATTTTCTTTTACTTTCACCGATAATGGTAAACAGGACGAATCTCATTAACGTGGACACATACAGCAATAAAAACTGACAGGGGTTCCAGTTCCTCTCCACTCTATTCAAAACTAAAAATATTTTGCCTTTAGTTATACTTCAACACAGGGTGACTAGAAAGAAAAATGCACAGCTTTAATCTAGAATATATCCTACATACAGTGGGGATCGAAAGTTTGGGCACCCCAGCTAACAATTTGTATTAATGTGCATAAAGAAGCCAAGGAAAGATGGAAAAATCTCAAAAGGCATCAAATTACAGATTAGACATTCTTATAATATGTCAACAAAAGTTAGATTTTATTTCCATCATTTACACTTTCAAAATAACAGAAAACAAAAAAATGGCGTCTGCAAAAGTTTGGGCACCCTGCAGCATTTATAGCATGCACTGCCCCCTTTGCAAAGCTGAGACCTGCCAGTGTCATGGATTGTTCTCAATCATCATCTGGGAAGGCCAGGTGATGTCAATCTCAAAAGGTTTTAAATGCCCAGACTCATCTGACCTTGCCCCAACAATCAGCACCATGGGTTCTTCTAAGCAGTTGTCTAGAAAACTGAAACTGAAAATAGTTGACGCTCACAAAGCTGGAGAAGGCTATAAGAAGATAGCAAAGCGTTTTCAGATGTCAATATCCTCTGTTCGGAATGTAATAAAGAAATGGCAGTCATCAGGAACAGTGGAAGTTAAAGCAAGATCTGGAAGACCAAGAAAAATATCAGACAGAACAGCTCGCAGGATTGTGAGAAAAACTATTCAAAACCCATGTTTGACTGCACGATCCCTCCAGAAAGATCTGGCAGACACTGGAGTTGTGGTACACTATTCCACTATAAAGAGATACTTGTACAAATATGGTCTTCATGGAAGAGTCATCAGAAGAAAACCTCTTCTACGTCCTCACCACAAAAATCATCGTTTGAACTTTGCAAATGAACATATAGACAAGCCTGATGCATTTTGGAAACAAGTTCTGTGGACCGATGAGGTTAAAATTGAACTTTTTGGCCGGAATGAGCAAAGGTACATTTGGAGAAGAAGGGGCACAGAATTTAATGAAAAGAACCTCTGTCCAACTGTTAAGCATGGGGTTGGATCAACCATGCTTTGGGGTTGTGTTGCAGCCAGTGGCACAGCGAACATCTCACGAGTAGAAGGAAAAATGGATTCCATAAAATTTCAGCAAATTTTGGATGGTAACTTGATGCCATCTGTGAAAAAGTTCAAGTTAAAGAGAGGATGGCTTCTACAAATGGATAATGATCCTAAACACACCTCGAAATCCACAGGGGATTACATCAAGAGGCGTAAACTGAAGGTTTTGCCACGGCCTTCACAATCTCCTGACCTCAACATAATTGAAAATCTATGGATAGACCTTAAAAGAGCAGTGCGTGACAGACAGCCCAGAAATCTCAAAGAACTGGAAGACTTTTGTAAGGAAGAATGGGCAAAGATACCTCAAACAAGAATTGAAAGACTCTTGGCTGGCTACAAAAAGCGTTTACAAGCTGTGATACTTGCCAAAGGGGGCAGTACAAGATATTAACTCTGCAGGGTGCCCAAACTTTTGCAGACGCCATTTTTTTTTTTCTGTTATTTTGAAAGTGTAAATGATGGAAATAAAATCTAACTTTTGTTGACATATTATAAGAATGTCTAATCTGTAATTTGATGCCTTTTGGAGATTTTTCCATCTTTCCTTGGCTTCTTTATGCACATTAATACAAATTTTTAGCTGGGGTACCCAAACTTTCGATCCCCACTGTATAGTTTGTGGAGTCTAACTTTCCTACCAACTAAATAAAACATTGATTTGGGTTATTTTCATCAAAGACATGTAGCAGAATACATTTTGGCCTAAATTTGTGTAGAAAGATTTACTTGCAAAAATGTTAGACTAAATATTTTGGAAAAAAAAAAAAAAAGTTTCTTCGTTTGTTATTTTTTCGTGTATAAATGCAAAAAAATAAAACCCAGTGGTGATAAAATACGACCAAAAGAAATCTATTTGTGTGAAAAAAAAAAAAGATAATTTCATATGGGTACAGTGTTGCATGACCACGTAATTTTCATTTAAAGTGCAACAGTGCTGAAAAAGGTGAAAAATTGGCCTGGGCAGGAAGGGGGTAAAAGTGGTTAGGGAAGAACTCGGATAGGCAAAAAACAAACAACACACACATACACCCACACCCCAACTCACCCATTAGTACACTCCACAAAACACTAAACAGTTAAAGTGTTACTAAACCCAGGACCCTGCATTCACTATATCTGGTCTCCCACAGTACACACAACATGGAAATGCAATTATTTTAGTAAATATAAACTGCTAAATACCTTTTCTCATCAGCAGTATATAGCAGTCTTGTGACTCCTACCAGCTGAGCACTGGTTAAAGCTTGTAGGAGGAGTTTTCATTCTGCTCTGACTGTTCTATGAGGCTGCAAAACCCCTTGCCCTCTGTCTGGACAGTGCTGATTGGCCCTGTGCTGATTACATGTTACATGCAGCCTTCCAAAGAAGAGGATAAAAAAAAAAAAAAAAAAAAAAAAAAAAGCAAACTAGCAATACACACCAAACTGAGCATGTGCAGAGTGACTCCTACTCCGTACTATCAGCAGATGGATTGGGAACAGTAGAAGGGGAGGATCAAGGAAGACAGGATCAAACAGCTTTTTTTTTCACACAATGTGGAGGATTAACCCTTTGGGTTCCACAGAGTATAACAAGCATTATTTACTGCATATACATACTGATTTCACTGTTGCGAGTTTAGGGACACTTTAATATTTTGAAAAGCCTTACCACTTTAGGAGAAGTCTAATTGAATTTTCATGACCTCATCTCTGTAATTCAAAAGATAACAGCATGTGCTCTGCCAAGGAGGAGGTGTAACAGCAGGGATTACATCATATCCTCTCCTCTCTGTAGTAAAAAGGAAACTACAGTCCCCATCATCCACAGGGAATTGGGATGAATGTGGGCAGGCACACTAGGCCTGTACATGTTGAATATGCCAGAGTCTCGGTCCGCCCACCACTGCAAGTGGGGCCGAATCACATCACTGCTTCCTGGAGAAAACTACAGAAGGGATGTGCCAAGACCAGTGGCTGGATGAATAAGAGGCATAGCAGTCACTGGTCTCATAAATAAGAACCCAAAGAGAATTAACAGTTTGAATGAAAAAAAAAAAAAAAAAAATAAAATGATAGATAGATGCCATTTCAGAGCAACTACTGCGTGAACCAGGATGGATGACATTCAGTGAAGGTAGGAAATCAGGAACGCAGACACGTAAAGAGGTTTTTGCCTGGGGTTCTGCTTTAACAGTCCTACCTATTTCCAGACCCTGCCACCCTGATACCTAAACTCTGACCTTTCCTTTGGGCCCCACATCCAATCACTGGCTAAATCCTGCCACCCTTCCAGAAATTGCTCCATCCTAACACTACAAAACAACCTATTCACTCTCCCTGGTTATATCCCACCTTGACTAATGAAACTCCCTCCTCATTGGCCTACCGTTACACAAGCTATCCCCCCTATATCATGAATGCTGCTGCTAGACTTATACACTTTACTAATCAAACCGTGACTGCTGCCCCTCTCTGCCAATCCCTTCACTGGCTTCCACTAGCCCAATGTATAAAATTCAAAAATACTAACCACAACATACAAAGTCACCCACATCACCAACCTCATCTTAAGATATCACCCAAACTGATCTCTCCAATCCTCCCAAGACATCTTGCTCTCTAGCTCCCTTGTTACCTCCTCCCATGCTCACCTTCATGACTTCTCCAGAACCTCTTCCATTCTCTGGAACTCCCCCAGTACGTCCGGTTAGCTTCTACCCTGTCCACTTTTAGGCGATCCTTGAAAACTTCATTTATTCAGGGAAGTCTACCCCCACATCCACCCTATAAAAACTGTACTTGGGCCACCTCCATTAGATCTTTTCACCTTAGATCACCTTTTGTACCACCTCCCCCTCCTTTAGATTGTAAGTTCCATGAGCAGGGCCTTCCAATTCCTTCTGTACTGAACTGTATTATAATTGTACTGTCCCCCTTTATATTGTAAAGTGCTGCACAAACTGCTGGGACTATTGAAATTCTGAACAGTAATAATACCATCAATATGATCCAATATTTATAAGCAAGAGCATGTGGGGTATGCCTATAAACACAACAGGCTCCTGTGATAATACAACAGTGCCTAGCCACTATCACAAGTGCAGCAGTGCTTTGTTGGCTCGAATGAGGAAATACATGTGAAAAAAGGTACAATACACTACTGCTTTGTCACATTAAACTGCGCTAATGAATCCCTGTTAAGCAGCCAAACACTGAACTTTAAGTAAAGGTTACACTTTAAATCAGGATTTAAACTTTACATGGCTGCATCCCAGAGCTGAAAAATTAAAAAAAACAAACTTACTGGAGCAATGAAGTTTTACTGGAGGAAGGCAAAGCTCTTTAGCAATATCTGTGTTCTTGATGGTCATGGCCTCATCAACCTACACAATCAAAACAAAACTGGTTAATACGGCAGTTATTTTGAATTTTTAACTGAACATTCCAAGAAGCATTGTTAGCATTTTTTAATTCAGTTTAACTAAATAATGTTTTCAAAGCTATTCAAGTCCTTTTTGTAAGGAACACAAAACAGTACATAATAAAAATCAACAAGGTATGCTTTCATAAGTAAATATAAAGTTTACATAAAATACATTTTTTTCCTTTTGCTCGAAAAAAAAAAACAAACAAACAAAACAAAAACAAAAAAAAATCCCACAAAGCTGCTAATGACACAACAGTATGGTAAAAGTATAGACGTTATCAGAAACATGAGAATTTAAAAGGAAGACTACACCAGCCACCACTGCTGACCCCTTACTGAAAATGCTAGTTGTCCTTTTTGACATTTTGAATGAGATAAAGACACTAAAACATGTATGCTGTAGCCCTGTTCTAAATGATTCAAATCTTTGAACTCAAACAGCCAGGCAGATGCATATTCCAGAATGAAGACAGCAGTAGCATCCTTCAGACGTTTCTCCTATTTAAAGGCTTCTTGTTGCATTTACCAGCATTAGAATGTTTTTACAGCTAAAAAAAACTCCTCTAGAAACCCACTAGTTCGGGAAAGGGGGGTTTCCCAGCCAAAAAATGCTGACTAAAGCCTGTGTGTGCACGCGCATGGACACAGAATAACATGCTGGGGAGTTTACTGGCTGTAGAAAAAAAACAAAACAAAAAAAACCCAACAAAAGCCAAAAACAGCAGCTGTAAAAACATCCAGTGTGCATGAGGACTTAAGGTTCCTCAAATGCAGCACTTGTCTTCTAAAGGCCTTAAAATATACAGTGGATATAAAAAGGTCTACACACCCCTGTTAAAATGTCAGGTTTCTGTGATGTAAAAAAAAATGACAAAAATTATTTCAGAACCTTTTCCACCTTTAATGTAACCTATAAAACTGTACAACTCAGTTGAACAACAAAAATCTTTTAGGTGAAGGGAAGTAAAAATAAAAAACTAAAATATGGTTGCACAAGTGTGCACACCCTTAAACTAATACTTTGTTGAAGCACCTTTGCTTTTATTCCAGCACTCAGTCTTTTTGGGTATGAGTCTATCAGCATGGCACATCTTGACTTGGCAATATTTGCCCACTCTTCCTTGCAAAAACACTCCAAATCTATCAGACTGCGATAGAGTCTCCTGTGCACAGCCCTCTTCGGATCACCCCACAGATTTTCGATCCGATTCAGGTCTGGGCTCTGGCTGGGCCATTCCAAAACTTTAATCTTCTTCTGGTGAAGCCATTCCTTTGTTGATTTGGATGTATGCTTTGGGTCGTTGTCATGCTGAAAGATGAAGTTCCTCTGCATGTTCAGCTTTCTAGCAGAAGCCTGAAGGTTATGTGCCAATATTGGTTGGTGTTTGGAACTGTTCATAATTCCCTCTACCTTGACTAAGACCCGAGTTCCAGGTATATAGTGAATAAAATCAGTGAGCACTTGGTAATGTAGCAGCTATAGCACATAAAAGGCAACCGAAATAAAACCTCATAAAATACATATGCAAGTGCAGCGCTAAAAAGGTATATACTCCAGTCTGGTAATAACATAAGAAATTGATAAAGATTATAAAATAAAAAATTGGTGACAGTTCGTGCTAGGTGTCTGATGCAGGAGTTGATATCGACGTCAAGATCCAGTGATAAATAGAAAAAAAAAAAAGGCACTCACCAGATGCGTATCTTTCAATACGCATATAATCAATGTAACCAGAGGTCCCCCTCATGGGATGGAATGGATGAGCTGGACCATCTTTAACAGACTCTCCTCCCTCTGGATATTGGGCAGCCAAACGGTCACCTCCCTTGGTGTATATAGCGGGCATCCACGTAAAGGCTTCTTAAATGGATGGGCAGGGTGCTTAGCAGCTTACACTGGAACCAGCGTTAACCTCTGGACTGGTGTCATAAATAATATAACTCCTGTGTCTTGAAACATGGGCTCTGAAAACGAATGTTAGCTCACCAGGGAGCCAACAAAAAAAAATTGCCTTAAACAGTTCAGTGAGGTTGTCTTTGTCCTCCTGCACTCCGTTCTGCGGCACAGAGATAGACATATTTCTTATGCTCTGATAATGTCAGTCAGCCAACTTATCCCAGGCTCTTCCCCTCCTGCGTCTTCCTCCTCACTTTCTCTCTTGTAGCTGCTACTTCCCCTTGGTCCCGCTGTGGTGTAGACTGATGGTGAGAAGGCGCCCATTACAATGAACTTCATTGTAGTGGGCGCCTTCTCACCATCAGTGCTCCATGGTATATCTAATGCCTTGGAAATTCTTTTGTACCCTTGTTCTGATTTATACCTTTTAACAATGAGATCCCTCTGATGCTTTAGAAGCTCTCTGCAGACCATAGCTTTTGCTGTAGGATGCAACTAAAAACATGTCAGGAAAAACCTACTAGAACAGCTGAACTTTATTTGGGGTTAATCTGAGGCACTTTAAAATGATGGCAGGTATGTAATGACACCTATTTAACAATTTTGAATGTGATTGTTTAATTCTGGACACAGCTACATCCCCAGTTATAAGAGGGGGTGCACACTTATGCAACCACATTATTTTAGTTTATGTTTACTCCCCCCCCCCCCACAAAGATTTCAGTTTGTTTGTCAATTGAGTTTTACAATTTATAGGTCACATTAAAAAGGTGGAAAAAGTTCTAAAAATTTTTCTTTTGTCTCTTTTTTTTACATCACAGAAACCTGACATTTTAACAGGTGTGTGTAGACTTTTTATATCCACTGTAATTCCTAACTTTTTGATCAATAAAAAAAAAAAAAAAAAAAGACAGATAAAGTATTGTTCTTCATTTATGATTACAAACCTCAACAAATGGCCTCAGTGTCACTGCATTAGAAATACTGAACTAAAAACAGGAATTAAAACATGATTTACCGTTTTTTCCCTTCACCCATTCGGTAGCCAAAGAGCTTGAGGCAATTGCTGAACCACACCCAAATGTTTTGAACTTTGCTTCAACAATTTTCCCATTTTCATCAACTTCAATCTGAAAAAGAAATTAGTGAGGAGTATACTTGGCAGTAGAATGGACTGAACAAATATAATTATCTTCTATTACATTTAATGAAAGATTTAACAAACAATACACAAGAAAAAAAAAAAAAAAAAAATGGGGCAAATACAAATTGATGTGAGATGTCATGAGCTCTCTCTTCCCTGTGCTGGGAGGAGCAACATCTTTCTTTTTAGCCTGTGTCTATTGCTCCCCCTCCCCCCCCCCCAGGTGTCTGTTGTGTCTCTCAATGAACTTTCTAGAAAACAGAATTTTATGCTAAATGAATTTAATGTTTATTGAATCTTTATTCAGCAGTACCTTGAGTACTTCTTGGACCTTGAAGAAGGGGACACTCCCCGAAAGCTTGTCCTCAAAATTGTATGTTAGTGCAAATAAAAACAGTATCACGGACAGTACTCAATTGAATCTTTAATAACACAGTGCCAAGTTATTAGGAAACAGCCAAGCCACACTAACCTGCAATTTCATAACATCACCACATGCTGGAGCGCCCACCAGACCAGTTCCGACATTCTTGGCATTCTTATCAAGGGATCCAACGTTTCTCGGATTCTCATAGTGATCAACAACCTTAACACACATACAAGGAGAGTGTCAACCAGGGTTAGAATGGTTCACCAGTTGCCCTGACAAGCAGTGGCTCTGCCAGCTTGTTAGATAATGCAGTTATCAAAATAGCAATGTGGATCCTTCCGTACTTTTATTCAGCATTTCCCTCCCCGAAACACATTACATCAAGTATAAGTGTCTGTATCTTTGCTTCAGTAATCATTTCTGTTATGCAAGAAGAAAGCGGGTACAAAATGATCATATGGTAATGTTTACATTAAAACAACAGATCTATTTACATGGCTCATGTTGCTCCTCCTCTGAGCAAACCAGAAATGTCTGTTTATCAACTTTTCTTAAAGTAGGAATTTTAGGTCAGTATCTTTGCATCACTAATCATTGGTGTTATGCAAGAAGACAGCAGGTAGAAATTATTACATGGCGATGTTACAGCAATACAAACTAGAGCTGACTTATCACATGACCGATAATCAGCCAGCTTTTAGTCTTCTCAGAGAATGAACAGCAATTCCAGTCACTGCTCTCTGTTCTGTTCCTCCAGTGCTCACTGGCGCGTCAGGCTGGGAAAAGGCAGGTGCAGCAGGCTCCAGACATGCTAAAAGTCAGAATCTGCTGTCATTCAGAAAACCAGGTGGATCCAGACAATATTGTGAGGCTCTGCCCCATCAGCTGATAGTGGGCAATAGTCCACCTACTGCTGAAGCTGCATTCACAGCTGAAAGTTTTGTAGCCTGAAGCTAAAAAAGGCTTAAACGTAAAAGAAAAAAAAAAAATTGCTCTCTATGGTGCCTGTTCGTACCTGAGCTTGCAAGGAGTGTGAACAGGCAGCACAGAGAACAATTTAATTTCAGACTTTAAGCTACAAAACACTCACAGCTGGTGGTGTATTTAGGTTTCATGCTAACCTACGCAACCCAAAAATCAGCTCCCCAACCCCATGGAGAGACCCTGACACTGACAAACACCCCCCTCCCCCACGATAAGAGCCTAAGATTGATCAATACCCCACCTGAGAGAGCCTTCCACTACCACTGCCCCCCATACACTGGCAACCCCCCATCCCTGACGAGAGAGAAGACACTCACCTTTACAGCTCTGGACATCCCCGGGAATGAGAGTCAGGCTCTCCATACACCATCAAGCAGCCCGCAGCCTCTCTCAGTTCCCACCTGGTCCCCATGCTGCATGTGTCCTTTCTGCCATCCCTTCTATTGGGGGGCAACGCTGCCCCTCTGAAAAATGCTGCTGCCACCCTGAAAAAAATGCCACCCTAGGCAAATGCCTTGTGGTAAATACGCCCCTGCTAATAGCTGTGATTGCAGTCTTAGGCTGGCCATACATTATACAATATTCTTCTACAGTTTTCCTCTAGATTTACCAAACCACATAATATGGAGTCAAACCATAACACTTTCAATTAGTATGCAATCAGGCAGGCCCTTGCACTACATAAAAGTTAAATCTAAAGAAAATTGAATAAGAAAACTGAATAATGTATGGCCAGCCTAAATGTACTCCTCTGATCCTCAATAAGATATGGTACCGTAAGTACAGTCAAAAAAGGTTTCTCCATACCTTTCTTTTGAATGTAAAACTAGGAGAATGACAACTAATGATTTGTCTACAGTGGTAATATAACTCAGAGCCACAAATAACTATCAGTAAAACCTGATACAAGCTGATTAAATGAAGAGCAGAAACTTATTCTGCAATGTGTAACAAATGTTCAAGTTAAATGTAGCAACTATTAATAAACCCTGCTCTTATATGCAAAGCATTGCATTTTAGCCTAATTCCAGTTAAAGGTTAACTGTTTTATTAATGATACCAAGGAAGAGATCAAGCCAAATAAAAAAAAAAAAAAAAAAAAAAAAAAAAAAAAAAAACATACCCATATGCAGTACACATCTGCAATACAGGCACAATTCCTCAATTATCCCTTTAGAAACCCTGCAAGTACAGAAAAATGCCTGACAATACTTCCAGAAAAACACTTTTCTCTTAATACCTAATGTGGCCTGAAGACACAGCATTTTATTGGATGGAGTTGGTGTATGCACTGCCCAGCTGTCTTTGCTAAACTACTCAGCCGCTCCCCCACTCAACACTGTATCTACAACATAAAGACTAATCATACTGTAGTGCAGGATAAGAACTATGAGGGCTCAAACACAGGGAAACTAAATTTCTGACAAGATCAACTTTTTTTTTTTAATTTCCACTAATCAAACAGATAAAACAAAACCCTTCCAATGGTAAATGTGTCAGCCCAAAGGGGAGCAAATAACAATAGTTCATTATTAGGGTTTATGTACATTTGAAAAAGAGCAGGTGGGGATAAAAATATACATGTTGACAAGGTGCATGCACTGAGGCCATCACCTTTATCCCTGCCACACTACCTAAGAAATCACTGACCTGGAAAAAGGATGTAAAAAATCAAGCGTTGCACATACTTACAGTGGGCTAGTGACTCACTATATAGTGGAGAGATAAGAACACAGTCCCAGAACATGTACTGTCAGCAATACAGCTCCAATACATGTCCTGAAAGGTTCCTTTTAGGGCAAGGTACTCTATTATAGAAAACCATGGTCTTGTATGTACATATGGTAGAGCTCTAGAGATTCTCTGTACAGCCCCTTTCATCTCCATGGGAAATAACTGGGCAGGTGTGGTCAATAGACAAGAGTACTGCAGTGAGGAGTTAAAAAAAAAAAAAAAAAAAAAAGCACCTCTGACAACCAGGGAAGGTCAGAGCTATCAGATCACAATATTTCTCCACTATATAGTATACCTGTACTAAGAATAGCACCACAGAATACTTCAAGTTACTTTGACTGCAAGCCAATCAGCAGGTCCCAGCTGTGAATCATTGGCAGGGACTTGCTGACAGGTTCCCACTGTGTGCAATCACAGTGGGTGCCAGGTGGGGGGGCACACCCCCTAAACCCGGAAGTAGGCGTTGACGTACCAGTAGGTCACTTTGTCTACAACCTCTGCTAGGCTGCAGTACAATGTGGGTGGGTATGTTTGGGCAGTCAGCAAGATGGTAAATATGATTTTGGTTAAATTATTTTTTCTTTTAATCGGGACAAGTAGATTGTCATGAGGGACAAGTAGATTGGGACCCAGATTTAGTCCCTTGGGCAAGTAGTTTTTTAAAAAATGTCCACACCGCTAAACTCTCCAATCAGGCAGGTCCTTCCTCTAGATCTGGGGTATTGAATTAAAATTCAAGGCGGTCCAGTCACTAAAATTTCCTTCTGGCTGAGGTCCGAATAGGGTGTGCCAATCAGTGTGCCCCCTTACATTAGATGTCGCCATCCGAGCGCAACTTTACATCATGCATTCCCATCACATCAGGTGTGCCCACCAGAGTACTCCTTTACATCAGTTGTCCCCATCAGAGTGCCGCTTTACATCAGGTATCCCCATCATAGTGCCACCTTACAACAGGTATTCCCGTCAGAGTGCCCCCTTACACACAAAGTACCAGTTTCCATCATATTCCCCATCAGAGTGCCCTTTACATCACATGAGATCATCAGACGGCCCCTTTCCACAGTATGTGCCGATTTGTGCCCCCTTAATGTAAAAGATGCCAGTCAGAGTGCCCCTTAACATAAAATAAGGGGCACTCCGACAGGCACATTTATATTAAGGGGCACTCCGACAGGCACATTTATATTAAGGGGCACTCCGACAGGCACATTTATATTAAGGGGCACTCCGACAGGCACATTTATATTAAGGGGCACTCCGACAGGCACATTTATATTAAGGGGCACTCCGACAGGCACATTTATATTAACCCCTTCGCACCGGCACCTCCCGGCCCTTTAAAGGTTTCAGAAGCCGGGAGGCGGGGTTTAAGCTCATGTGACCGCCATGACACACCGTCATGGCGGTCACATGATCGGGAAAGGTACTGATCGAAAGAGGAGATCGGGACCTTTCCGTGAATACCGGACATGTGTGCAGGGAGCACGCAGGGCGTTTTTTTAATAGAACGCAAATAGAACGCAAATGTAAAGCCGCTCGGCGTTTTAGGCCCAGACTCCGGGAGGCCACACATTTGCGGTCGGCTGGCGTGAAGAGGTTAAGGGGCACTCCGACAGGCACATTTATATTATGGGGCACTCCGACAGGCACATCTATATTATAGGGAACCCCGACAGGCACTTCTATATTAAGGGGCACTCCGACAGGCACTTCTATATTAAGGGGCACTCCGACAGGCACTTCTATATTAAGGGGCACTCCGACAGCACTTCTATATTAAGGGGCACTCCGACAGGCACTTCTATATTAAGGGGCACTCCGACAGGCACTTCTATATTAAGGGGCACTCCGACAGGCACTTCTATATTAAGGGGCACTCCGACAGGCACTTCTATATTAAGGTTGTCCGACAGGCACTTCTATATTAAGGGGCACTCCGACAGGCACATTTTATGTTGTGCCCAGAGTGCACCTTAACATTAAATGGACCCATCAGCATGACCCTTAACATTAAATGTGCCCATCAGAGTGCTTCTGTAAGACTACACTCTACCTTGAGGGCAGACAGGAGCAGTGCCTGGATCCTTGTGAAGGATGCTTGTGTACTGGCAGGGAGCCGGAGAGACAGTGAGCTGCAAGGGGCGCACACGTGATGTCATGTTGCCGTGACATCCACCCTGCTCAGCAGCGGATCTGTCACTCCAGAAGGGAGCAATGCTGTGGCTGTTCTCACACTGCCATTTAGTGACAGCTGCACTAGCACTCATCGGGAAATCAAAAGGAGAATGCGTAATCAGATTGCAATTTGTGTGTGTGGTGAGCCTTAGGCAGACCGGAAGGGAAAAAAAAAAAAAACAAAAACCTTCTGGTGTCGATAGGGGAATCCCTCCCATGGAGCTACTGCATTTTGACAGTGAGGATCAGCATTGCAGACTATAAAAAAAACCCCGACAGGCAGGTTGTACAGCTGTCCATCGAAAGACGGACTTGTGTAAAAGCAGCCTGCCAATACATGGATGGAAATACGGCCGGTCCTTGATGCAGCCACACCGGACTACACGGAGAGCTCCGACACTATCACGGATCACAAATCAGCCTCCCGTACCAAGAGTGGGGTGAGGCGAGCAAGGCTGCAGCCTGTACAGCACAGTGCGGGGTCACCTCTGGGTGTCAGTACACGGTATACTTACATGGCTGACTGCCCGAACCTCTCCGCTCTCCCTACGATATACCCTGGGCCTCCCTCGCCTCCTCACAACAGTCCCCTCCCGCCTGCTCCCCACCGCAAAGACAGCATTCCATACCTTCTTGTGATAAGCGGCACAAGGAACCCGCAGTTCCGGCACCGAACACCGACTCCACACCGAGCAAAACAACCGTCCCACTCCGGCCATCGTACCCCGGACTAAACTGACAGGAGCAGACGCGGCGCAAGTGCGTACGGAGGACACGTGACTCGGAGAGCGCAGGCGCGGCTACTGATTCTTGTGGCCATGTGATCTGTGTTCTAGTTATGTAACAAGGAGGGGGGCTGGGAGAGGCTGCCAACACTGAACGATGCTTAGGTTATGTAGTAAGAATTGCAGGGCAATTCACGGGATTCAAAATACACTTTATTTTCTATAAACTGTTATTGGGATTTGTAACTGTACTTACAATGCATTATACAACGTTATACAAAGTCCTGGGCAGCTAAAGGGGAATTTCAGGTATTTTTTTTACTTTGGCCAATCTACAGTGGGGATCGAAAGTTTCGGTACCCCAGCTATAATTTTGTATTAATGTGCATAAAGAAGCCAAGGAAAGATGGAAAAATCTCCAAAAGGCATCAAATTACAGATTAGACATTCTTATAATATGTCAACAAAAGTTAATTTTATTTCCATCATTTACACTTTCAAAATAACAGAAAACAAAAAAATGGCGTCTGCAAAAGTTTGGGCACCCTGCAGAGTTAATATCTTGTACTGCCACCTTTGGCAAGTATCACAGCTTGTAAACGCTTTTTTTGTAGCCAGCGAAGAGTCTTTCAATTCTTGTTTGAGGTATCTTTGCCCATTCTTCCTTACAAACGTCTTCCAGTTCTTTGAGATTTCTGGGCTGTCTGTCACGCACTGCTCTTTTAAGGTCTATCCATAGATTTTCAATTATGTTGAGGTCAAGAGATTGTGAAGGCCATGGCAAAACCTTCAGTTTACGCCTCTTGATGTAATCCCCCGTGGATTTCGAGGTGTGTTTAGGATCATTATCCATTTGTAGAAGCCATCCTCTCTTTAACTTCAGCTTTTTCACAGATGGCATCAAGTCACCATCCAAAATTTGTTGAAATTTTATTGAATCCATTTTTCCTTCTACTCATGAGATGTTCCCTGTGCCACTGGCTGCAACACAACCCCAAAGCATGATTGATCCAACCCCATGCTTAACAGTTGGACAGAGGTTCTTTTCATTAAATTCTGTGCCCCTTCTTCTCCAAACGTATCTTTGCTCATTCTGGCCAAAAAGTTCAATTTTAACCTCATGGGTCCACAGAACTTGTTTCCAAAATACATCAGGCTTGTCTATATGTTCATTTGCAAAGTTCAAACGATGATTTTTGTGGTGAGGACGTAGAAGAGGTTTTCTTCTGATGACTCTTCCATGAAGACCATATTTGTACAAGTATCTCTTTATAGTGGAATAGTGTACCACAACTCCAGTGTCTGCCAGATCTTTCTGGAGGGATCGTGCAGTCAAGCGTGGGTTTTGAATAGTTTTTCTCACAATCCTGCGAGCTGTTCTGTCTGATATTTTTCTTGGTCTTCCAGATCTTGCTTTAACTTCCACTGTTCCTGATGACTGCCATTTCTTAATTACATTCCGAACAGAGGATATTGACATCTGAAAACGCTTTGCTATCTTCTTATAGCCTTCTCCAGCTTTGTGAGCATCAACTATTTTCAGTTTCAGTTTTCTAGACAACTGCTTAGAAGAACCCATGGTGCTGATTGTTGGGGCAAGGTCAGATGAGTCTGGGCATTTAAAACCTTTGAGATTGACATCACCTGGTCTTCCCAGACGATGATTGAGAACAATCCATGACACTGGCAGGTCTCAGCTTTGCAAAGGGGGCAGTGCATGCTATAAATTCTGCAGGGTGCCTAAACTTTTGCAGACGCCATTTTTTAGTTTTCTGTTATTTTGAAAGTGTAAATGATGGAAATAAAATCTAACTTTTGTTGACATATTATAAGAATGTCTAATCTGTAATTTGATGCCTTTTGGAGATTTTTCCATCTTACCTTGGCTTCTTTATGCACATTAATACAAATTTTTAGCTGGGGTGCCCAAACTTTCGATCCCCACTGTACAACCAATGTAAATATACACTCTCGGCCACTTTATTAGGTGCACCTTGCTAGTACCGGGCTGGAGCATCTGTTACCTTCAGAACTGCCTTAATTCTTCGTGGCATGGATTCAACAAGGTGTTGGAAACATTCCTCAGAGATTTTGGTCCATATGGACATGATAGCACCATGTAGTTGCTGCAGATTTGTTGGCTGCACATCCATGATGCGAATCTCCCGTTCCACCACATCCCAAAGGTGCTCTATTGGATGGAGATCTGGTGACTGTGGAGGCCATTGGAGTACAGTGAACTCACTGTCATGTTCAATAAACCAGTTTGAGATGATTTGAGCTTTGTGACATGGTGCATTATCCTGCTGGAAGTAGCCATCAGAAGATAGGTACACTGTAGTCATAAAGAGAGGAACATGGTAAGGAACAAAACTCAGGTAGGCTGTGGCATTTAAACAATGCTCAACTGGCACTAAGGGTCCCAAAGTGTGCCAAGAAAATATCTCCTACACCATTACACCAACAGCTTGAACCATTGATACAAAGCAGGATGGATCCATGCTTTCATGTTGTTTACGCCAAATTCTGGCCCTACCATCTGAATATCGCAGCTGAAATCAAGACTCACCAGACCAGGCAATGTTTTGCCAATCTTCTATTGCCCGAGTTTGATGAGCCTGTGCGAATTATAGTCTCAGTTTTCTATTCTTAGCTGACAGGTGTGGTCTGCTGTAGCTCATCTGCTGCAAGGTTCGACGTGTTGTGTATTCAGAGATGATATTCTGCATACCTTGGTTGTAACGAGTGTTTTTTTTTTAGTTACTGTTTGTAACAGAACCAACCCAGACTGTGCTTGGGTACTTCCGTTAGAATACCGCTTCCCCGTCCGAACACCGACAACAGACACCACAGCCTACCATACAAGACTAGACGACACCAGTCTTGAAGTAAACCAGGAGGTAAACTACTTTATTTGAACACAGATACAAGATATATACACTTAGGGGACAATCCCCCCTCCCTGGATAATGACACATGGTGGGGCAATCTACATTTAGTAACAAGAGACACACAGGTATTCAAACTTCACACCAGCAGACAGTTCAATCAGGAGGGAGGGCTGCTGGAGTCACCCCCCCCACACACACACACACACAAAGCTAATACTCATAAACACATACAGTGGGGCGAAAAAGTATTTAGTCAGCCACCAATTGTGTAAGTTCTCCCACTTAAAAAGATGAGAGAGGCCTGTAATTGGCATCATAGGTAGACCTCAACTATGAGAGACAAAATGAGAAAAAAAAATCCAGACAATCACATTGGCTGATTTGGAAAGAATTTATTTGCAAATTATGGTGGAAAATAAGTATTTGGTCACCTACAAACAAGCAAGATTTCTGCCTCTCACAGAACTGTACCTTCTTCTCTAAGAGGTTCCTCTGTCATGCACTCATTACCTGTATCAATGGCACCTGTTTGAACTTGTTATGAGTATAAAAGACACCTGTCCACAACCTCAAACAGTCACACTCCAAACTCCACTATGGTGAAGACCAAAGAGCTGTTGAAGGACACCAGAAACAATATTGTAGACCTGCACCAGGCTGGGAAGACTGAATCTGCAACAGGCAAGCAGCTTGGTGTTAACAAATCAACTGTGGGAGCAAATAATTTGAAAATGGAAGACATACAAGCCCACTGATAATCTCCCTCGATCTGGGTCTCCACCCAAGATCTCACCCCGTGGTTTCAAAATGATCACAAGAACGGTGAGCAAAAATCCCAGGACCACACGGGGGGACCTAGTGAATGACCTACAGAGAGCTGGGACCAACGTAACAAAGGCTACCATCAGTAACACACTACGCCACCAGGGACTCAGATCCTGCAGTGCCAGACGTGTCCCCCTGCTTAAGCCAGTACATGTCCGGGCCCGTCTGAAGTTCTCTAGAGAGCATTTGGATGATCCAGAAGAGGATTGGGAGAATGTCATATGGTCAGATGAAACCAAAATAGAACTGTTTGGTAGAAACACAACTCGTCGTGTTTGGAGGAGAGAGATGCTGAGTTGCATCCAAAGAACACCATACCTACTGTGATGCATGGGGTGGCAACATCATGCTTTGGGGCTGTTTCTCCGCAAAGGGACCAGGACGACTGATCCATGTACAGGACAGAATGAATGGGGCCATGTATCGTGAGATTTTGAGTGCAAACCTCCTTCCATCAGCAAGGGCATTGAAGATGAAACGTGGCTGGATCTTCCAGCATGACAATGATCCCAAACATAGCGCCCGGGACAACGAAGGAATGGCTTCGTAAGAAGCATTTCAAGGTCCTGGAGTGGCCTAGCCAGTCTCCAGTTCTCAACCCCATAGAAAACCTTTGGAGGGAGTTAAAAGTCCGTGTTGCCCAGCGACAGCCCCAAAACATCACTGCTCTAGAGCAGCGTTTTTCAACCACTGTGCCGCGGCACACTAGTGTGCCGTGAGATATTGTCTGGTGTGCCGTGGGAAAAATTCCAATTTCATCTGTAACATGTGGCTTCGGCTCACAAATAGACCAATCATTAGAATCTAATGATTCAGTGGTCGGCAAGCCGCGGCTCGCGAGCCACATGCGGCTCTTTACCCAGTCTAATGCGGCTCTTCTGTGTGCCGGGCGCCTGCTCCCCTCCCTCCTCTCGGTCGGCCCCGCTCCCCTGCCTCCTCTCGGTTGGCAGCCCCAAAAGTCCGCGCGGACCTTTTAATCCGGCTTGCGGATGTGGCTGTCAGGATGTGTGTAGGCGGGGCAGCGTGCCGAACGTGAGGGGAGGGGAGCTAGGCTCCTCTCACAGTCCGCCCTGAAGACCCGAACGGCGCGGGAAGACAGCGAGAGGAACGCAAAAGGTAAGTGAATTGACACGGGGGACTTGGCTTACTAGAAGGGGGGGGGGGGAATAGTACTGTGGGGGATGAAATACTATATGAGGGATGAATTACTTTATGAGGGATGAAATACTATATGGGGGGATGAAATACTATATGGGGGATGAATTACTATATCAGGGA